AGGCAGGTCTGATGTGCTTAAGACAACCCAGGGAAATTTGTCCTGCTGGGTGAGATAGCGTTGTGGGACTAGGAAGCTAGGGAGGGCCATGTCTCTCAGGATGTGTCTCCACCTTGTGACCCAGTCCCAATTATTTAGTGGATTTGACCAAGACACAGAATGCAGGTGTGCAGAGTTCTTCTGCTGACTGCTGAAGGGGTCAAGTCCTGGGGAAAGACAACCAAACCTCCAAGAATGCACAGGTCCCAAGTACAAACAAGACAGTAGAAACAGAAGACCCAGGAATTGGGGAAAGCTGTGGATTTCCCAAGCATAGAATTTGCTGGCATCCACATAGATTTTACCTGGCTATTCAGAGGAGAGGAGACTCCTGGGGCATCAATTATTTATATGGGTTTTCAGAGCGCTGTACGCCCAAATAACTTCCTACACGCTTCTCCCTGAATACCAAAGCTCAGCACTAACACTCAAGCCACGGTAAGGAAAATGGGCCAGTGTCCACATTTAGCCAGGGCAAGAACATGACCATGTTGTCATTACAGCGGCCCCCACCTTATCAGCTGGATCAAAATGTGGGGCTCCTGTTTCCAGGAACAACAAAAGCAGCCCGCAGGTGTGGGTGCTTCCTCCTTGTCTGAATCTCAGGACAGCGAGGTGTGCTTCAGAAAGAACTGTTTTAGCAATTTTCCCTTTTCTCCTACAAGTCCATTCCTATCCACATGTAAACCTGCTCTTGTATCAAACAAATAGGAAAATCTTCTCTTGCCCTCTGCCCTTAGCTACTGACATTTCTCTGCTCCCATTCATGTATTAGTAAAATTTCTTGGAAGTTGATTATAGCTGATGTAACTATAGGCTGGCCAGATTTGACCTACTCTACCTGTGCTTCCACCCTCACCATTCCACAGAAAGGGCTCTTGTCAAATCACCTATGACTTTTGTGTTCCCAAGTCAATGACCACTCTTGTTCTCATCTGCCTGGATCTCTCAGCAGATCCCACTCTCAGCAGATCCCACTCTCAGCGGGTCCCACTCTCAGCAGGTCCCACTCTCAGGGGGTCCCACTCTCAGGGGGTCCCACTCCCTGCAGATCTCACTCTCAGCAGGTCTCACTCTCAGCAGATCCCACTCTCAGGGGGTCCCACTCTCAGAGGGTCTCACTCTCAGTGGGTCCCACTCTCAGCAGATCCCACTCTCAGCAGGTCTCACTCTCAGCAAATCCCACTCTCAGCAGGTCCCAATCTCAGTGGGTCCCACTCTCAGCAGATCCCACTCCCTGCAGATCCCACTCTCAGCAGATCCCTCTCTCAGCAGCTCCCATTCTCAGTGGGTCCCACTGTCAGCAGATCCCACTCCCTGCAGATCCCACTCTCAGCAGATCCCACTCTCAGCAGGTCCCACTTGACACAGCTAATTCTTCCCTCTTCTTTTTAACATGTTTTCTTCCCTCTCTCTTGCTTTTCCTCTTCCTTCACAGACCCTTCCAACACCTCTAGATCCCTAGTGTCGGAGTATCCTAGGATCAATTCTGGCACCCTGTTCTTCCTTGTCTAGACCCCTGAATTCTTATCCTTTCCAAATGCTAATGACCTGCCATTGTATAACTTGATATTTCCACTTAGATGTCTAGTAGGAATCTCAGATTTAAGATGTCCAAACTAAACTTTCTGTGGATCTCACCCTCCATACCCATTTCTGTTACCATGACTCACTCAGGAGTTCCAACCAAAAATCAAGGTGTAATCTCTACCTCCACCCTTTTCTTCTCACACCAACCGTATCAAACCCACCCGCATGTTGAATTTGATGCTACCTTTATTATTATTATTATTATTATGAGATGGAGCCTTGCTCTGTCGCCAGGCTGGAGTGCAGTGTTGCAATCTTGGCTCACTGCAACCTCCGCCTCCCGGGTTCAAGTGATTCTCCTGCCTCAGCCTCTGGAGTTGCTGAGATTACAGGCATGCGCCACCATGCCCAGCTAATTTTTGCATTTTTAGTAAAGACAGGGTTTCACCGTGTTGGCCAGGATAGTCTCCATCTCTTGACCTCGTGACCATGCTGGGATTACTGGCTTGAGCCACCGTTCCTGGCCTATTGCTATTATTTTTGAGATGGAGTCTCAGTCTGTTGCCCAGGTTGGGGTGCAGTGGTGCGATCTCAGTCACTGCAACCTCTGCCTCCCGGGTTCAAGCGATTCTCCTGCCTCAGCTTTCTGAGTAGCTGGGATTATAGGCATGTGCCACCACATCCGGCTATATATATATATATATATATATATATATATATATATATATATTTGTATTTTTAGTAGTGATAGGGTTTTACCATGTTGGCCAGACTGGTCTGGAACTTCTGACTTCACGTGATTAAGCCACCTCAGCCTCCCAAAGTGCAGGGATTACAGGCATGAGCCACTGCACCCAACCTGATGCCACCTTTAAATTGTGGTCTGAATCCATCTGCTCCCTCCACCTCCAGCATTACTTTAGGCAAGGCCACCATGATCATTTTAATAATGAGATCACCTGCAGCAAACCTTTCACTAACCACCCAATCTCATGCAGTTCTGCCACTACCAAGACCTTCTATTCTAGGCTCATAATTGAACTTACTGCTATTTTTACTTGGGTTTTTTTTTTTGGTATATTTTCATTGTGTCCCCCACCAAATAAAACAGATGAGGTACAAGGTTTGCCTGTTACTTGTTTGTTCATCAGCTGTCCCTAAGCCCTCATAGAATGCAGGCACTGAAGCATCACCTGAATGAGGTGAAGGAATGAATGAAAACATCACATAGTTGAGGCAGGTGCTCACAATTAAAAATTATAAATGCTCCTCTCCCTTTTTCCAGTCTGTCTAAGGAATTGATGGATGAGGGTGTCCCTAAAACACAGGAGCCCCCAAGGTCAAGTTCAGTGCTTCCATGCCTGTGTTGTCTTTGAGGCCACAGATTCACCTCTGCACCAGGGCTTTTAATTTATTTTTTATGTTTTTCTGAGACCGAGTGTCACTTCGTAGCCCAGGCTGGAGTGCAGTGGTGCGATTTAGGCTTACTGCAACCTCCACCTCCCGAGTTCAAGCAATTCTTCTGCCTCAGCCTCCTGAGTAGTTGGGATTACAGGCGTCCACCAAACCCAGCCAATTTTTTTGTATTTTTAGTAGAGATGGAGTTCCACCATGTTGGCCAGGTTGGTCTCAAACTCCTGACCTCAAGTGACTCGCTGAACCAATGCTTTTTAAAAAGGGGGATGCTGGCTGCATGCAGTGGCTCATGCCTGTAATCCTGCACTCTGGGAGGCCGAGGCAGGAGAATCACTCGAGCCCAGGAGTTTAAGACCAACCTAGGAAACATAGTGAGACCCTGTCTCTACAAAAAAATAGAAGATTAGCTAGGTGCAGTGGTGCACATCTGTTGTCCCAGCTATTTGGAAGGCTGAGATGGGAGAATTGCTTGAGCCCAGAAGCTCAAGGTTGCAGTAAGCTGAGACTATGCCACTGCACTCCAGCCTGGGAGGCAGAGCAAGACCCTGCAAATAAAATAAAATAAAATAAAATAAAATATAAAATGGACTATTACTCAAGGACAGTGTTTAAAATCATGGGCCTTGGAGTCACTTTCCAGGTGCATACTTGCTATGGGATCTTAACCTCAATGTGCCTCAGTTTCCTCACCTGCAAAGTGGATGTAAGTACTTACCCTCAAAGGACAGTGCAGAGGATTCTAAATTACATTTGAAATAAAGAGCAGTGGCTGGCTCAGTAGTTGCCCGCCAACCTTCCCCATCTTTCTTCTTAGGAAAACCAAGGCTGGTAATTCCTTGCAGGCTTTTACCATCTCTGCTGCTACTCTGGACTTCCCAACATCCCCAGATTTCAGCCAACGTCTCAGCTGGTTATGACAGGAAAGTCACCACCTCCATGCTTAGGGTGGCAACTGCAGGGCCACCCCCCACTGAATTCTCCCAGTCTCCTAAAAATGGCACCCTTCTAACTCACCAGGCGTCAGAGAGAATTAAACCAAGTCCTCAAATACACACAGAGTATCAGCATCTGCTTGAACAAAACCAAACCAAATACTTTTGACCTTACAGTGAAATCTGCTGCCTCAAAATGGTTCATGTGAAATCATATGCTAATAGGAGAAATGGTGGTTTGGGGGTAATCAGAGCCAACATGATTTTTGTCTGTTAAAATGACTCACAGATGCTTCAGCTTTGGGAGCAAGACTAAATTGATGGAGTTCTTGTGCTAGAGTATGTTCACCATGGAATTCAGTATTGACATTCTCTAAGAGAACGTAATTAGTAAATCAATTTGGTTGGAGAAAAAAAACTGACCCAGGACTCTCTCAATAAAGGTAGGCTCAATCAACTTGTATAGTACTAACAGGTAGAAAAATAATATTCATGAAAATGGAAAATGCAATAAAAGTAGCAAGACCCTAGGGTATATAAAATCAAAAATTATAGTATGTCATGAAGTTGTACTGATTCTGAAGGCTAAATGTCCCCAGCTGTATGTATTCCCCAGGAGATAAGCTTGTTCAAAGGAACAAATTTGAACTGTTTTAAACAGTAAAGAGGCATTACGTAACCAAGACAATTCTGAGATTTCAAATATGTTTTCTTTCTCCCTGGTTTTTCCACATTCTGCATTCTGGGTCATACTGGCTGATGCCCTGGCCACTCAGCTTTCAACAGAAGTGTGTAGGTTCAATTGATTAGGTGCTAAAGAATGATAACTTCTTAGGAAGTTTTATATTTTTAGTATGTCGTACTAAATAGATGAAAAGAGTTAAAAACCCTACATTACTGTCTGTCTTCCAAAATTCTCACTGGGGAAAAAAAGCCCTCAAAAACTCAAACTCCACAATTAACCCAATTCAGAATTTTAAATGAGGTATGTATGAAGCAAAACCCTATTTCCTGCATTTAACTGAGTGCTAGAGGATGTTCTCTAAACCTGAGTAGAAATAACATTTACACTTAAAACAGAGGCATGTTTGAAACCTTTTATTAAACAGGCAATGCATTGTGCAGTGGTTAAAGACACAGATGCCTAGTGGAAAAGTTTAAAAATTATTCTGGAAACAGTCTGTGAATTGATGAACCCTGCCATGTTCCTTCATCTCCTTCTCAGAGTGGCTGCCTTTAAGAAAACAGATGGTTTTATAGCTGCTCTTGGAAACGGCATCCCTGTTTTACCATGAATGTCATGCCTCGTAGAAAACAGGAAAGAAGACAGGATCCATAGGCAAGACAGCGACCAGAGACAAGGGCTGACCTCAGCTGGGAGCATAGCCGTCCCTTCTCCTAGAGACAAGGGCTGACCGCAGCTGGAAGCATAGCCGTCCCTTCTCCTAGAGACAAGGGCTGACCGCAGCTGGGAGCATAGCCGTCCCTTCTCCTAGAAGGGCTTCTCTTCTGGCCTTTGCAGGGTGTCCTATTTATGTGTCCAATTTCATTTCTATTTTCTTCCTTGTCTGAGGCTTCTTTATCAAGGGAATTCTAAAAGACACATTCGTACCTTTGGGCACAGGAACTGGTTCCTGGACTTTTCCAATGTTGTTCTTGTTTCTGGGCCCTCTGGCCCAGGAGTATGGCTGTGTGTTTATCTTCTTTGTTTTGCCTGGTTCCTTCCTCTTCCCCGAGCTCGTCATAACTTGATGATAAAATCAATCTTTAAGTTTCACAGTTTGTTTGCCATGATATACTGGCAGTTTTTAACTAAGTGGCTTGTCAAGGTAGTGGACATAATTTATCAGCACACTGCCCACCTATTTTATGATCTGGGGCATGTCACTCCAAGCTTGAGATTTCTTTCTGGCAAGTTCCATCCAGGATGGCTGATCTGTACTGGCATAACTGGCTCTCTTCAGCTGATGCAATTCCTTCTCCGTCATCACTGCAGACTGAGCTGCTTGCAAGGGAGAGAAAGCAAACAGAAACAGGAGCAGTGACTTTGAATTTTCCCTTAAGCCTCTTGTGTTTCTTGAAATAGACATCAAGGTCTTAACTGTGTTCTCGAACATAAAATTCGATAATATGTGAACGTATAAGAAGATCTAGTCCTAGAATATGTTAATTATGTGATAAAAAGACTTATGAGCAAGCTCAAACAGTCTGGCAATGCAATGAGGTGAGAGAGACTTTGGAAATAAAACGGCAGGAGCTCTGCAGATGGGCTGCACAACAGTATCTCTCTACTTAAAACAACTGCACTGTACACTTAAAAATGGCTAAGATGGTAAATTCTGTTATGTGTCTTTCACCACAATTAAAAATATATAAAAATTTCTATTTTTATTTTTTTCAAGACAGAGTCTTGCTGTGTTGCCCAGGCTGGAGTGCAGTGCTGCCATCTCAGCTCACTGCAATCTCTGCCTCCTGGGTTAAAGTGATTCTCCTGCCTCAGCCTCCCGAATAGCTGGGATTATAGGCATGCACCACCACACCCGGCTAACTTTTGTATTTTTAGTAGAGATGGGGGTTTGCCACGTTGGCCAGACTGGTCTTGAACTTCTTACCTCAGGTGATGCTCCCGCCCTGCCTCCCAAAGTGCTGGGATTATAGGCATGAACAACCACACCCAAACTAAAAATTTTTAAATACTGATACATGACACTATGCTCAGTAAAAGATGCCAGATATAAAAGGGCACATATGTTAGGATTCCATTCATCAGAAATGTCCAAAAAAGGCAAATCTATAGAGACAGAGTAGATTAGTGGTTGCCTAGAGCTAGGAGTGGGAGTAGTATGTGACTATAAATGGGCATGAGGTTTCTTCTTAGTGTGAGGGAAATATTGTAAAATTTAGATTGTCATGATAATGGTGCAACTCTGTAAACACATACGTGCTCACTGTCAATATACACTCATCCCCTGGTGTATGCCGGGGTTTGGTTCTCGGACCTGTCCCCCCTGCGTATATCCAAATCTATGAACACTCAAGTCCTGCAGTCAGCCCCGTAAAACCCACATACACAAAAAAATGGCCCTCTGTTTTCTCAGGTTTCACATCCTGAGGACACAAGTAATTTTCCATCTGAGTTTGGCTGGAAAAAATCAGCATTTAATAAACCTGCACAGTTCCAACCTGTGTTGTTCAAGAGTCAACTGTATAATGAACTGTACACTAAAAATGGATGAGTTTTATGACATGCAAATTATATCTCCATAATGGCTATATAGAAAACTCCATGTGGCAAGTAATTCATAAAAACCAAACCAAAACCCAGACTGCAGGAATGACCCAGGAAAATGATTTCACAGTGTGTGGTAATGCTTGCAGATTGCATACCCAAGTTCTGATGGGACAATGAGATTCCTCTTTGCAGCCCCTCCTTGAGGTTGAGCTTCGTCCCCTGCTTCCGGTCCACAGCGGGCTTCACAGGGGTTACCAGGAAAGACTTGCTGCGGACAAAGTCAGCTTGCTTCACGGGCTCCTGTCGGGACACAAGACACATGCTGCCGAGTTACCAGTGATTCAGACGGGGGCAAACACAACCGAAGTAAGAGCCGCAAGACTGCGCGCCCAAGATGCCTGTGCTGCTGGCACTTTCTCTGTAGGGCCCCGGTGTCAGCTCACTGACATGGAGTGGTCAGATGCTGGCGCTCAGACCAGCATGCAGCCTTATCCTGGCACACACGTGCATTGTGGCTTCCTTCCTGTCCCCACACCTGGTCTCAGTGCCAGACGGCAGGGATTCCATTTGAAAGTCAAGATGATTTGTTTAGAAATGGTTTTGTGATTTTTATGACAGTTGGTATAGTTACAGATGTCCCAAGCTGGTTAATATTTGTTTTCTAAATTCCCTATGCCTGCATGAGGGTCTTCAAGTTTGGGTATAGTTGAGGTTCTGGTTAAAGTGAAGGGAAGGTCCTACTGCAGGCTCAGGCTCTCTTCCCCACATGGCTGAAACACACAGATTTATCATGGTGCTACTGGGGATACAAAAACTGCTAGTGGGCCTGATTCTAGGCATATTGTTTGGGTTGGTGAAAGTTGCCTTCAGTTCAGAGTACAAAATGGAAATGCAGGCTCCAGCCCTGCAGCCCCATGTAAGGAATGAGGAGCTCCAGCATGTGGCCAGTGGAGCAGCAAAAAACAGGGCTTGCTCCTCCTCACAGCACAGTTAGCTGGGATGGATCTGCTGACATCATCGCTGTGTGTCTAACTCAGAAGTTATTTTAACCTCCTTCCATTTTTCTAGATGCTGAGCTGCTGCGTTGCCAAGGAGGCAGGGAGCTGTCTGCACTGCCTAAGTGATTCATGTGCTTCTCTGCATCCCCAACAGCCCAGCACAGGCAAAGGCAGACAGAATGCTCCATCATGGGGGTTATGATTTGGCAAGTCATTTCTTTTGCTTTACCGGCTCTCAACCACACATCTGCAACCATCACAGGTAACCGTTCCTGTGACGCCCATTTAGGACCTGTGGTCCTTACAGGGTGCCTGCCCCAGCTCCATCTGGCTACTTCCTCCTGCACCCACAGAATGGAAAATGTCCGCTCTAAGCACCTGGGCTCTCTCGGGCACCTTGGCTTGCTTTCCCAGCTCAGACTTCCCGGTCCGTGCCCCAGGCTTGTCTTCCTGGTTGGTTGGCTGGTCCAAAGCTCCTCGCCGCTTCTGCCGAGTGACGGTGATCCAGGGTGGTGCGGGCTGCCCATCGGCTCCAGGCCCTGTTGCTGCAGGCAGCAGACTCTTTTCTGTGGGTGAAGGCACAAGGTTATAGGAACAGTCCTGTTCCCTCTTTGGTTTTACCCTTTCGGTTCCCACGCAGAGAATATTACTGCTTTGGTTCAGGCTGTAAGGTGGCTGGAAGCCCCTCTGGTGAGAGGATTACTTTCTTTAGGGGACTTTGTTTTCTTTGTAAAAATATATCGGACAGATTATGCTCCTCTAGTCTGAGCCACAAAAAACTAAATGCAACTGCTTCTATAGGGTCGGTCTGTACTTTAAAGCCAACTTCCTCCTAGGAATTCTTTCTGGAAGGAGATAAGTACACAAATAGATAAAATTTCTTTAATATAATCCTGTCATTTTGGACCAGTACATACTACCTGATTCCTGCTCAAATGCTGCAGACACGCTATTGATCTCTTGTCTTCTAAAAACTGAGTATAACCTTCCCTTTGTGGAGAGAGTAACACCAAAAACTGGCCACAGTTGCTTTCCTTAATGTTCTAGAGAGAAAAGAAATAGTGCTTTTGAAACCATATGTTGGCCAGGAGCGGTGGCTCATGCCTGTAATCCTGGGAGGCCAAGGTGGGCAGACAACCTGAGATCAGAAGTTCGAGGCCAACCTAGTCAACATGGCAAAAACCTGTCTCTACTAAAAATACAAAAATTAGCCAGACGTGGTGGTGGGTGCCTGTAGTCCCACCTACTTGGGAGGCTAAGGCAGGACAATCGCTTGAACCTGGGAGGCAGTAAGCCGTGATAGCGCTATTCCACTCCAGCCTGTGCAATAAGAGCAAGACTCCGTATCAAAAAAACAAAAAACAAAAAGACACCATATGTTTCCTTCCACATTAGCTGTGCTTATCTTTGGGTGGTAAATTGTGGGTGATTCCCCTCCTCCTACATTTTAACAATTCTGTATTTTCATATTTTCTACAATAAGAATTTATTCCCTTCATCAATAGAAAAAGGAAATGTCTGTATTAAATAAGTAGCTTTAGTTTTCTTTTTCTTTCTTTTCTTTTTGAGACAGGGTCTCACTCTGACACCCAGGATGAAGTACAGTGGTGCAATCAAGGCTCACTGGAACCTCCACCTACCAGGCTCAAGTGATCCTCCCATCTTGGCCTCCTGAGTGGCTGGGACTATAGTCATGCACCATCACACCCAGCTAATTTTTTGTAGAGATGGAGTCTCGCCATGTTGCCCAGGTTGGTCATGAACTCCTGAGCTCAAACGATCTACCTGCCTCAGCTTCCCAAAGTGCTGGAATTACAGGGGTGAGCCACCTCCCCTGGCCAATAAGTGGTTTCTTACAGGTACATCAAAAGCATAGAAGCCAAGGTTCCCCGTGAGCCTGCTTCTGGATGTTTGCCTGCCACAGGATAAAACAAAAGCCAAAACTGATCTCCATCCACCTGGCACCTCTCCTCCGTTCCTTTCTACACAGTGTGGCTGAGTCAGCCAAGTGACAACAGCTCCATTTCACAGCAACACATGCAGATGTCCAGGAGGAATCATGTCATTGCTCTCCGTGGCCTGATGTATTCCACCCCTTGCCCTGGTGTGTAGAGGATAGTACTTGCTTTGCCTTTGTTTCCACTTCCAGTTCAGGCTGGAATTCTTTCCTCTTAGTCCCCTGGTCACCAAGGAGGGAAAAGGGGGTGGGGAGCCACTGCTTTGTAAGCTACAGTCTCCTGCTGGGGGTGAGAAGAGTCTTCAGCCTCACACACCTAGGACCTTCCCTGACCCTGGCAGCCAGGATGGATTCCACTCCTTTTTTTGGCTGCTCCCTGGGGCCTCCACCTGACTGGTCCCCTGGGAATCCTGCTCCACCTCTTGGACTCATCCTATCCCGTTCCTGACTCTTCAGTCTCTCCCACTGATGTCTTTCCCGCAGCTTTGCAGAATGCTTGGGTCTTCCATAGCTTGAGTCTCCACAGAGCCTCCCTGCCCCTAAGGCCTCCTCCTCTACCCTTAGCTCAAATGGCCTCTGTCTCTGTCTTGTCAGCCAGTTCATGAACCAGCCACGATATGACACCACTCTCCATCCTCCCAACCACCCAACCCCAAATCCCAAGGCATCGCCTGGTCCTCAACCTGCTTCACTCCTGCAGCACTCACGTGGTTACGCACATCCTCTCCTGGCGGATGGGGGCAGCTGTCCTCCTGGGGCATCCCTCCGGCCTCTGAGGCCCTTCTCTAGGTCCTCGTCTGACTTTTGTTCCTAACCTGGAACTCCTGCTTGCTCCTGACCCTCAGCCGTCATTGCTTGCTCCCAGTGTTTTCTCTTCCACTCCTGATCCAACAGGCAGAATTGCTGAAATTACTAAAACTTCCTAGTGTACAATCCAGCCCTACTTTCTATGCCTAGCCAGAGCCCAGCATTTCCATTCTCCTGTTTGGCCTTTCTTCTTTCCATTCATTCAGTGTTTGCTGTGGGCAAGGACTGCCTTATATCTGAGGTGGGAAAACAAACAACAAGTTGTTCCTTCAAAAAGCTCAGTCTAGTTGGAGAGACAAGATACAAGCAAGTAACGGGTAGAAACTGGAAAATGCTAAAATGTACAAAGGGCTATGTGGACACAGGGCCTAACACTGGTGAGTGGGAGTAGGGGTGCCTTCGGGGTTGGGGTCTGAAGAACAATCTTCCCGGCTGGGGGTGGGGGCAGGAGGAGTAGCGTAGACCAGCCCTGAGGAAGGGTCTTTTCTATTTTTTTTCTTTTTCTGTCATTATGGGGGCTGTGGGAGTTTTAAACCATGGGCTCACTCTGAAGGTTCTATGGACAGTCAGTCTGACTGCAGAGGGACAAGAGGCTAGGAGGAAGCTAGGAAGGAGGCTATGGCCACAGCTCAGGAGAGGTGACAAGAGCTTGGATATCTTCTTCTAGAATCCTCCCTGCTGGTTCACCAGGGCCCCCAGGCACCACCTCCTGCCTTAAGTCTGTTCTGGTCAGCCTTTCTCCTCATTCCTCTGTGACCTCTTGAGACACTTGCCTCCCTGTGTCTGGAACTAGACGTATTTGCTAGTTCACCATCTACCCAACTGAAGTATGCCTTTGGTCACAAGCATTTCTTATCTACTGAACAAACACAAGCCACAGACTATATACCAGGTGCAGTTCTAAGTGTTGAGCTTGGCAAGAGATAAATTTTCCTTTCATCAAGAGCATGCTGGCAGAATTCCATCCCAAGCACAGAAGAGTCTGCTGCTGCCTGTCTGTGGGGTAGGGATGTTTCCAGCTGTACTGTGTGTGTGTTGAAGTGTGTGTCTGTGTTCACGTGCAGACTCGCAGGAATGAGTGGGTGCCCTGGCTGGGCCAGGCTGTGCTGTGGGATGAGGCACCTGTAATGGCAGTGTCCCCAAACACTGGGCCAGCTTACGACCACACCACCATTTCTCTCCTTTTTGGTTCCTGCCACTTTCCCTGCAACTGCTTGTCTTTCCTTTTATTCTGTATTCTCCTCTTTCTCACCTTCGTCCTTGTCAGGAATGCAAGAGGGCCCTTGTAACCTCCAGACCCTGTTACAGGTACTGTCCAGGGCCACTCTCACAGGTAGAGGGGTGCAAGAATGGCGAATGAGGATCTAGACACCAGGAAAAAGGGAGAAAACCCACTCAAGCTCCCTAATGTTCACAGATGCCTGAGATTCTACCTGGAGCCTCTCAGCAGATAAGCTGAGAAAGGGGTGGTGGGCTGAGCATCACAGTCCATAGTGCTGAGCTTCAGAGAAGTGGCGCCTTTGTCCCCAGTGAGCACAGGCAGAGCAGCTGTGTGATGAGCCATTCTGCTCTGTGGCAGGGGCCTGGGAGGCCTCTCTGAACTGTATGTTCGCCTGTTGTGCTTGGCACCCACACTGGGTGTGTAGGAACTCTGGGATCTGTGCCATACTCCACCTGGGGAGGGCAGGAGAAGGGGCTGAAGTCCCTGGCAATGTGCAGGGTAAGGCAGGCTTCAGAGGTCAAAGACCTTACAATGTGACCCCTCAAGCATGAACATTCAGGGTCAAGGCTACACGATAAAATAGCTTCTGAGATTAAACATGTTCAAAATGGCATTAATCCCGGGATAATGTAGATGTGGCCTCAGTTCAGATAAATCAGTTGAAAACACTCCTTTGTTTACCTCTTCCTGCCTCCACACACAGACAACCTTAATCTCCCAGGGATTTGGCTAAAGACTCTGACATCTCAATTTCTCCTCCCCAACTGACAATGAGTTTCAGCTGTCAAGTGTGCCTGGGTTTGCAACCAACAGCCCAGGGAACAGCAACTCCAGGTCTGTATCTGTGCGATCACCTTTGCGGATTGTGGCAGAGCCTGACTCCCCAGGGCAGCAAGCCTGGTCTGCTGTAGAGCAGATACAGAATGACGCCTCCAAAGGCATGGTACAGAGTGTGCAGGAAGCTGGGACAGCCACAAAGCTCCCCCAGCTTAACTCGCAGGAAAACAACTTTTGATCAGAGAAAATATTCTGTTGTCTTTAAGGAAAGGATTCCTTCAAAGGAGCAGGTAGTAAGCTTGCTCTTCTCCAGATTCCTCCTTATCCTTAACATGCCACCTGCAGCCCAGGATTGATTGTGAAAAAGACATTGCTCCAGCGCTAACTTCTGAGGGCTCCTGTTCTTGGGGTTGGGCTCAGTGGGCTGTGCTGATGAAGAATGCTTCCTCGCTGGGGCCAGGGCAAGGGACTTGCAACGATGTGGCCCTGGGGCCTGCAGAGCTAGCTTGGGGCCTTCGGCTAGTGCTCTTGGCAACTTTCAGAACCTCCCTGAGCCTTGATTTCAGCATAAAACTGAAGAAAACAGAAGTCTCTACACCTCCCAGTCTGACTGTAAAGATTCTGTGAGACAATCCAGTACTGATACCTCCCGCTGTGGTTATGAAGATTTTGAGATAACCCACTATCTACCTTTGCTGGTGTGGTGTGACGACTCCATGATATAATCCATGACCTATGCCTCCCAGTGTGGTTGTGAAGCTCAGGTGAAATACCCACCGTCTATACCTCTCAGTATGGGCGTG